AAAAAAATTTATTAAAAAAATTTAAATAATTTCATAAACAATCATGATATTTTAAATATTATAACTTTTTAATTTTAATTTTAATTTTTGATAAAATTTAACAAAAAAGATCTCTAATGTACTAACTTAAGAATTGCAGTGTATATAGAGGATAAAAACTTTAAAATAATAATGTGAAATAAATTATATCATTAAATAAATTGATATATATAATTTTATAGGTCTAAATAAAGTAAAAGAAATTAATTATTAAATAATATAAAAATTATTTTTTAATATTTTAAATAATATAGTTCATTTCATATAATTAATTTTAAATTTTAATTCCGTAAAATTCGTAGCTTTCACCTCTATCTAAGTAAAAAATATCTTTTAATTTTTCTTTTAACTAGCATAATTGAAGGATGGAGAATGAGTTACTAAAATTAATGACCTAATTAAGTCAGTGATTATCTACTTTTATTGGAAATAAAAAAATCTTAAATTTGAATCACATGACATGCAGATGGAGTAAGATAAGGAGTGAGAGATGATTGTCTTTCGTTATGTAATCAAGATAAAAAAAAAATACCATTATACTTTTTAAATCAGTCATGGCTATAGGCCACAATGATAGTTGACGAAATATCGTTTAGTTTTAGTAGAAGTAAAAGAATCAAAGAGAAAAATGTAAATTTTTATTGCTAAAGCTTATTTTTAGCTTCTCACTTTGTCAAGTTTAAAAGTTTTAACCCCTTATCTTATATTATTACATTTTTAACCCGCACCTTCTTAAATTTGTAAGTTTTAACCACTTGTTTATTAAAATCGAATAAAATAACCCTCACTTTATATCAACTGTTAACTTTATTAGTTAAAAGTATATTTTTATCAACTAACAGTTAACTAATAACTAATTAATAGAATTAACGAAATATTATAAAATTAATTTTGCTAAATTTGTTAGCTAAAAGAAGATTTTTGACAACTAACAGTCAGTTAATAAAGTTAATAGTCAATTAATAGAACTAACAAAATGTTACAAAGTGATGGCTATTTTTTTCAATTTTAATAGGTAGAGGGCTAAAACTGTGATAGTATAAAGTGAGGAACTAAAACTTATAAATCTAATAAATAAGTGGTTAAAAAATCATAGTATAAGATGATAGGTCAAATTTTTTAAACTTGACAGGTGAGGGGTTAAAAATAGACTTTTGTCAATTTTTATGGGTGGGTTTCTAAAATTTCAATGTTATATTTTTTAAATATAATTATTTGTTATATTTTTATATTATATACTTTTTAAATTTTTAAATTTTATATTTTTAATAAATTATAAAATATAATAATTAATTAAAATAAATAATATAATATTAATAATTAAAAATGTGAAAAAATATTATATGATTTTTAGTGTATAAATAACTGTCACATGAAAGCAGATCATCTCATTCCACGATAATGGATTTCAATTCTCACTTTCAGACAACTCTCCTGCTCTTGTGTCTGCTGCTTCTCTATAGAATTTTCTTCAGAAAAAAAGCAGCGAGGAATTATAAATCCGGAAAAGTCGGTGCTCCGGAACCAACCGGAGCATGGCCAGTCCTTGGTCATCTCCACATGCTACAAGGACCAGACCCTGTTTGTAAGAAGCTGGGAGCGATGGCAGACAAATACGGCCCAATCTACTCACTCAAGCTCGGTAACTACAGGCTGCTGGTGGTGAGTAGTTGGGAGGTTGCCAAGGATTGCTTCACCACAAACGACAGAGCTCTGGCGACCCGGCCAAGCATAGCTGCCGGAAAATATTTGGGTTATAACAACGCCATCTTAGCCCTTGCTCCTTATGGAGATTACTGGCGCTACATCCGCAAGGTGGCCACCATCGAGCTTTTCTCCGCCCACCGCCTCGAGCAGCTCAGTCACGTGCGGTTTTCGGAAGTTGGGTTATTCATCAAAGATCTGTTCAAGCTTTGCAACGGCAGTTGGGTGGAGGTGGATATGAGCAAACTTCTGGAAGGCTTGACATTCAACCTAATCCTGCGGATGATTGTCGGAAAAA